AGCCCAGCCATATCAACCTTGGCTTGTTAAGAAATCTAAAAGTTTTCAAAGTGAGCCAAGATTAGGCTATGAAAGGTTCAGCCATGTCCAGTCTCGGCCCACTTTGATATGTTCGACATTTTGTTGATGAATGCATTTCTTTAGCTAAATCCTATAGTAATTTGTACATCTATAGGCTGTAAGGTAGCACATAAAGGACATATATCAATGTAAGATAGTCATATAAAATTCAACTTAATATAGCCGGAGGAGTGAGTGTAAGTGAGAGATTTCGAATTCGATACATTTCACTTATACTTAAAAAAAAAAAATTTAATCAGGCCAATTGTAATAAAAAATTTTATTTAAAGCTTTTCATTTAATGATGTATTTTAATCTATTAGTAGATCAATTAGAGTAAATACTATATTTTCTTATTGCGTCATTGAAATTATGAGAGATTGCTTGTTAAATCCATAAAATTAATGAAATTTCAAATTTAAAGATTGCAAAGCATAAGTGAACTTGGGCTAGCTCAAATTCACCATGTTGATGAAAAGGACAGACACGTTTCGAAGGAAAAATCCAAGGACAAAGACAAACGGCTACAAGGCTATGTTAAACTAACAATTTGACTAGTAATAGCAACACCACTGCAAAAGATCGATCTCATGAATTTGCCAGAAATACTTAGATATACTGCTCGCTGTGTTAGATAATAGTTTAAGAAAAAAAAATATGTATTGGAGCTCAATTGTAGAAATTATTAAGTTAAACTGAAGGACAAATCCACCATACAGCTTTCACTGAAAGTACTACTTAGTCATCCATCTGCTCTATTTCTAAAGCAACAGAGCTACAAAGGGGTGCCATTGACTCGTCAGAAGAACTACTATCGCTGCTTCTTTGCATGGATATGGGTGAATCTGGAGGGTAAAATGACGGTTTAGGAGGCAACTTTAGACCACTAGCATCACCTTCAAGCATTTCTAAGACTTCTCTCATTGAAGGACGATCCTCAGGTGTCATCTGTATGCACCACAAGGCAATCAAAATTAATTTTTGTGTAATTGTCTTTTCTCCTTCAGTTGCATGATCTCCGATTTCCATGTCCTCCACCTGATCGAATTTGTCATATATCCATGATGGGAAGTATATTTGACTTGAATGCTCAGCATGTGCATCCACATTTCTCCTCCTCCCAGCCATCTCCATTAGTAACATTCCATAGCTGTAAACGTCTGCCTTGTATGAGACTCTTCCAATCCTTTTGTAGAACAACTCCGGGGCCATGTAACCTAATGTTCCCCTCACAGCAGTAAGAGTTGCAATACTCTTTTGCATTGGGTAAAGTTTTGCAAGTCCAAAGTCTGAAACTTTTGGAACAAAGTTCTCATCAAGTAAGACGTTATGCGGTTTAATATCAAAATGCAGAATTTGCATATCACACCCCTGATGCAAGTATTCAATGCCACGAGCAACCCCCTTTGCAATCTCACAAATTTGTTTCCAATTCAATGGAGAACTATTTTGACAGTCTGAGAAAATTAACTTGTCCAGAGAGCCATTTGGCATGTAATCATACACTAGAGCATGTTTTGAGGCAGTTACACAAAATCCCACTAACCGAACCACGTTCACATGGTGTATTCTTCCAATAGTTGCAACTTCATTGATGAACTCTTGCCCATTAGCTTTTGATTTGTTCAACATTTTGACAGCAACAGCATCTCCACTGCGCAATTTGCCTTTGTAAACCATACCGTAGCCTCCTTCGCCTAGTTTTTCTTTAAAATTTTTCGTCATTGTCCTAATTTCTCTATATGAGTACCTAATGGGCATGAGTCTGCTGTTTGTTTGTAGGAAATCTTCTATTGTATCATACCTTGATAAATGCCTCCGATGCCACCTATAAAGCAGGAACGCAGACAAGATGGCAATGCCAAGGACACTTTTTGCCGTAATGAGTAGAACTGAAATCGAAGAAGAGAACAAGAAGACTTAGCTATGATATATATATATATATATACGGCCAATGGATAGAGTTATCGACTATAAATCAGATGCCTTACCGAAAAATTTGACAGCAAAACCCACGCCAGCTGCTTATGAAAGAAAAGAGGTTATAATGGAAATACGGAATTAGAAAGAATCCGACTGATTAAGAATGGTTTTTTTGCACACGAAAGAAACAAGTTTACTCACTTCCGAATGTGTGAACGCGGTCGAGGATTGCTTCTACTAGGGGACCTACATCGCCCAAGGAGAAAAGTCAACGTCAATGTCCAATTGGATGCTTGAAAATGAACTTTTATTAATTACTATTAATTCACCCTCATGTGTGTACCAGTTTCAAATCACTACGAGAATAAATTCAAATGAGAATTCAATAATTCATGTGTTTGTTAGGATCATAAAACAAAAAACATTTCCAAGTATTCTAATTTGACTTGATTTCATACTTAAAAAAATCAAATGAAAAACTATGTGAGAATATACACAGCGATAAAGACAACTAGTAAAGACAAAATAGCAGTAGCAAGGTTTCTGGTACCCTCATTCCCCAAAAAAGAAAAATAAAAAAAATTCACGTAATTAGTTTCCAAATTAAACAAATGATTTAGGGGAATCATTTGTAAACACCAAATGTCATAAGATTTATAAGAGGTACAATAACTGAACGCAATCATACCAAACAAAAAAAAAAGTGTCTTTAGTTAATGTCATGTGCAAACTATTGATAGCAAGGCCTTACACAAAGTAGTGATATTTGGTAATGCAATTCGTTACATGAATGATACATTGAATTTTGGCTCAGTCAAATTCAAGAAATTTACTTGAAGCTGGAAAACGAAAGGGACTTTTCCCAGAATTGACTCAGTCAAATTTCATATTCTACTCTCCTTTCTTTTCTTTTTTTTCTCGAGAAAAATGAGTTACTAGCAAAAACTGGGGCAAGAATTTCGCAATTAAAAGGAGAATTTGAGATAATCTAAATCCACATTTTGAAAATCTAGACCCACACCTCCAATGCATTAATCAATTCTACTTTAAACATTTACACTTATATTATGTTTGAATTTGAAATAAATGGCTGTTAACAATATTTTGATTGTTAAATAAAAAAAAAAAGTACCTACTACTATATTTAGCCTCCAAAGATTGGAGTAAGAATTGCACTATTCAAAGGAGAATTTGAGATTGACTCATCAATTATATTTTGAACATTATATTAAGACCTATATGGTGTATGCGATTTAAAATAAACGGTTGTACTCATCAACAATATTTGGTTGTTCTATAATTTTTTTTTTAAAAAAAAGAAAGATGAATAGCAGTACTACCATATTTAGCCCCAAATGTACCACTTCACATCTTAACTTAAAATCTTCCAATTAATATACATTAATTTGCCATTAATTTCCCAAAAACATAGTTTCAAGCAGTAGTACTGAATACTTTTAAAGGATCACCATAATCAATCATCAATTACGATGTTAATAAATCTTCAAGTCAGTGTACTTACAAAAAAACGATTTCTTCGTGCTCCAGCTGGACTCCGAGCCTTCGGACCAACTGATCTCATAGCCATTGGACAGAAGATTGTGGATGTCTTGAAACGAAATATCTCCTGCTGTTACATTAGGGAGACACCGCAGGTCTACAGGAACCATCTTATAGACAGTGCACGACTCTTCAATGTCAGATGCCACCACATTTTTGCCCACCACAACATAGCTGTAATTATTGGACGGAGCTTTCATTTTTGAAAAATGATTTGCACTGATATTACAGGAAGCAGTGTCTACATAAAGAGGAGGATATTTCGATTTCACCGGATTTTTGCAGCTCACAAAGACCAACGAACCAGTATCGGGACCAATCTCCATGACATAATCCGCACCAGGTTGATAGTAGTATGGACTGAATGGGTAGGGTGGCAGAGTAGAACAGTTGTTCTTTTGCACCCCAGGATCAAATATACGAAGTGTCTGTTGCTCATAATCAATACTGTTCAACTCCACAGAAAAGTTATAAGGACCATCCAAGGATAGAACAGTGCGATTATTTTCACAAGAGAATTCAACAACACGACGTTCAGGGCACAAATCGGGATCATCACCTCTAAATTGAAACGGGCCCTTTAAATTGATGTCGGTGCCCCGGCAAGTGGATGGGCTATGGTCACAGCTGGTGTTTTTGGAATTGAATAAATAATCAACATGTACTTGACAATGGTCATTTATAAAAGAATAAAATGAGAACCCAGACACCAAGAAGTAAATCAAGAATAGGGACAACAAAACTACCAAAATCTGAAGTTGGAGCATACTTGTTAAACATTGGCTGACTGAATTTTTTTAAAAAAAATAATAAGAAGATGAAGAAGAAGAAGCCGGATATATGTAGCAAACGGAGAAGGGGCTCGGATATATGTAGCAAACGGAGAAGGGCTCTCTCTTTAGGTTGGTAAAGACTAAAGAGAGTAGGATCTAGGCAGTGACGGAGCCAGGATTTTTTTTTTTTGGGGCCAAAATTTTTTCCTAATAAAATTATCTTAATATATTATGTTCAAAATAATTTTCTTATATTTAAATATATGACATCTAAAAATATCAAATATTAAATTTAATTATAAAGGTATGTTTATTGATAAATATACGGTACAGTCATAACAAAAATTAACAAAAAAGATAACCTTTGATTAAATATCTTATAACATCACAAATCATCCAATTTGCACATTATGAGAAGATGCTCTCCAATATGTCACCTATGCAATATATATATATATATATATATATATATATATATATATATATATAACCTTGTAATATAAATGTAACTATTTTCAATTAAAAAAAGATAAAAGTTATGTTAGCATACTTTGAAATTTTAACATCTTTTCTTAGAAGTAAATTGAGCTCTACGCTCTTTCATAGAACTAAATTCATCTATGATTGAATCACTCCTAAATTTTTTAGCAACTTCCTTTTCTATATACACAGTTAGACAATCATTCAAGAAATTATCTTCCATCTTATTTTGGAGCTTTGTCTTGATTTTTTCATAATTGAAAATGCCCACTCTGAAGTTGCAGTTGATACAGGAAGAGTAAGATCAAGTCTAATCAATCTATCAATAACATGATATATCACTGATTTTCTTGTCTTCACCAAGCCTTGACATAACTCATTAATACCAGATAATTCCTGCAATTCAGGATGATTTGGAATGTCGAGTTCAAAATGTTGAAGTTCTATTCTTAGACGTACTAGTTCTTGCTCCATAAAATCATTCGGATAGAACTTCTCTGCAAGTTTACAAAAATCATCAATCTTGAATAGCATAAATCCATTTCTAGGATCTAAAGCAGTGCTCAAAATAAGCAATTCCACGGTATGATCATTAAACCTGCTATGTAACTCTTGCAATTGATAATCAATTGTTGCAAGAAATATATCCACTCGATAATAATGCTCCAGACTAATCTCATCATGATGACTTCGAGATCTACCACGTCTTGCAATATATTGAGCATTCATACATGGGATATATTGGCTCCATCATTGGATCTAGGGTCTCCAATCCAATAGGAATGTAAGCCAAAATTACTTTATTAATTTTCTCCTTTGGATACAGCCATTATTACTACAGAGTTATATTGCTATGGCTTAACTCCCACTCATTTTGGGTTCGGCGTGACTTTAAACAAAAAAAAAGGTAAAATCAATTTTCTTCTTTATAAGATAATAAATAATTCCAATGCAATAAATAAGCATTGCAGCTAATATACACTTGGCGAGATAAACACTAAAGTGAAGGCATTTGAAGACAACCAATGGTTTGTTCTTCAGGGGGGAGGGATGGGCTGGGTAATACGAGAGAAGAGAGTGTAAGTAAGAGATCTAGAATTCGAGACCTCTCACTCATAGTTTAAAAAAAAGTTTGTTCTTTAATCAATTATTTCAATGGATTGTAATTCCTAATTTTTGTATAATATTCAATATTTTTGATATTTTGATTTCCTTGTGCATCTAGATTTTAAATTTTTTTTAGTAGTCAAAAAATGTAAAATATATAATCTACCAAAGAGTAGTTTTAACTAATTATGATTTTTCCATATAAGCACTTTCTATATTCAGATTTTGCAAAATTTTATAACAAATGAGAATAAGTTCTCTAAGTTATTTTTTTTTCTAGTAGAAAAAGAGTGTGATTTAAGGAGCGGAGAGAGGTAGAAGGATTTAAACTCAAAATCTCTAGTTAACTAATATTAATATCTCAAGATCACTCTACTCTATAAGTTTAATAAGCTTGAGAAGTTTTGTTTAATAATCCACGGCATCCCATGAAGCATAATTTTTGGAGCATTTGGGTCCAATGGAGGAAACTGCCAACCCGATTATGGGTTAACGATGCTAATTAGTTCGTTTGGAATATCAAGATCAGATTTACAGAAGGCGTCATTTTCTTCTTTAATTTTGGGGCCTCTAAATTGGAGCGGTCTGTGGAGATAGTTTCATTTTTCAATAATAGACTAGTAAAAAAATTCCACATGCATCATTTTTTGAGTATCGGGGAAATTAATAGCTGAATGACTTAAATTTAAATCTCGACTTGAATATTGAGAGAATCAAATGTTGACTCGAATACTAAGTCCTTGTTCTTTATCATTTTGCGGTCTACTCTTCATCTTTATGTTGATATTGTTTTGTAGAGATTTTTTTCGTGGATAAAACAAGAACCTTAATAATGAGAAGGTTGGATATCATTTAGCACGATTTGCTTGACAAAACTTAAAGGAAAATTTCACAGAATTTTAGAAAAAAATTGACAGTTTTTGTACAAATGAATTAAACAATGCGCAATTGTCTCTTTGAAACCCCAAGTGCATTGAAAATATGCTGATCTAATAAAGCCAAATGAATATCCTCAATTATCATGTCTAACCTAGATAGAAGGTCCAATTGATAGTAACACGAAAATCAAGTCTAATAAATGAAAAAAAAAAAAAAAACTCTAGACCTGGATGTGGTCTTTCACGATTCACATTAACCATCCATTCTAGAAATTTTTTCCCTCTTTCCTTGAGGGAGTCCAATCTAAGCTTTTGTTGTTTTCCTTTTCGTTTTTAGACTTCAGTACCTACCAAAGTCGTTTTTGACAAATTTTTTCTTATTTTTTATAGGGATGAAATCGTTTTTTAGTTTTTCTTGAGCAATGAATTCTTTTTTAATTCTGTATTATTTATCCGTCTACTACTTTTGTTATTATTATTATTATTATTATTATTCTGTGATTGTGTGTCTACTCCTTTTCACTTTAGAAATGAAGTGCTTGTTTGTTCTAAATATATATGTTTTCCTAGGAACTGTTTGCTACATAAAAACTCTTTTTCCATTTGCCTCGTTCCCTCCTAAATTTCTAAGATTAAAAAATTAAGAAACTTTAAAATTCATAAAATTATTTCACTTGGATGGATACACCCTGGGCTTTTGTTTAACATTTTGAAAATTACATTACCAGGGTAATTATGTTTTAGACTTGTAGATAACTTGATAACAATTTTTAATGAAAAGATGAAGTCATAAACATAATTCATTAATTTAATGACGATATAAGTACAAAATCAATACCTTAAGAAGTTTGGTTTACTGGTTAGTGTTTTCCATACAAAGAAAAATTGTCCTTTAATGAGTTATAAAGAGTTAGTCGTTTCCTTTGTATTGTTTATTTATTTCTTGCAATTCAAAATTATGTAAATATTATTATTGTCTCATGTTGGGCTTGAACCTGAAAAAAAAAATAAAATAAAATCAATCTCGCTGAGTAAGATGAATATCCAATAAAGACTAAGAGAATTGTCGGAACATCAAAATTTTTGAGGTAGGAGTAATAGCACATAACTTCCCCGAATCTACTTTTTAGTCAATATTAGAGAGGCATAACGACACTGTAGTAGCACATACTTTTTGTAATCTGCTGCTTAACAATCTCAAGTTTTTGAATCAATTTTAAGCCAAGATCAGAGTAAACACAACAATGTAACTATAAGGAAGACTGAACCAATCCTTATTCTTATTTTGAATGAACTAGAAGAACCTTAATATATTTGTGTCCGATTGAAAAGTTTTCTGGCGCCTTCACTACTAATCATTTGGGTGATGCATGAGGAGAGGAAAACAATGTGAACATTAATGTATGATTTTATTTTATTTTTTTTTTAAAAAAAAAGCAATGATGAATGATGTATATGACAAAAGAAAGTATGAAATATTTGTGAAAAGTGCTAATTAGCTCAAATATCAAGATCAGCTTTTGGAGAAGTTTTTCTTGGGGAAATTTTGGAAAGGGGAACAGGAAAATTTTAAATTCATGAGAAGGGAATAAGTTTTAAGAAATTTGTAAATGGGTTATTGATTACTATTCTTATATTATGCAAAAAATTAGTGCTGCAGCTGAATCTTGAATTCTGAGGAAGGCAAAACTCGACTTTAATGCTTATTTTCCAATCTACTCTTTTTGTTGTCAACGTTTTGTAGAACAGTGTATTTTTCTTGTAAGCCCGAGTTGATGGTAACGCGGAAATAAAGCTGAATAAATCAAAAAAATTTTAAAAGAGCAAAAATTCTAATTGAAAAAATTCTAATAAAGTTGAGTAATTCGATCGAGGTGTAGCTTTTCACAATTCCCACACTAATTCTCTAATTGGAAAATGGGCTTTAGTAGTCAAATAGCTTTTAGTGAGGAATACTTTTCTCCATAGTAAAGTTTCTCTTTCATAATTAACGAACTCCGAACTGCTTTCCTTCCTTCAGGGAAACTCGCTTCTTTTTTTTTTTCCTTTTTCTTTTGAGGTAGACCTACGTAGACTTCTAAAGTCGTTGGTCTTTGTACTAAGGTCCTCGTTGTTTTGCTTGTTAGCCCCAGTTGATGGTACACGTAACTTTAAGAGCATTTTCCATATCGGATAGGTGTTGATAGAAGTATGGATGCTGAGCAAGCTTTCATTGTCATCTACAGATATCAGATAGTAAATATGTCAAATTAGCGTTTTGATACGTACAGGCATTAATTAGTCAAGTCGTTCTTACTTCTAGCGTTTTGATACAGGCGTTAATTAGTCAAGTCATCCTTACTTCTATCAATTTTGGGATTCAACTATAAGGGGCAGAAACATGCAGCTAGGACCTACTTAGCAATTCTGCTCCACAAAAACATAGTATCTTATCTTATTTTTATTCTTAGTTCCTACAATTCTATTCTTCTCTTTTTTTTTCTTTCTTTTTCCACATAGAGATGGCCAACCAAGTTGAATGTAGACATGGAATCTCTTTTGATTTATTAATGACCAGAAGGAAATTCTTATCAAACAAATTCAGTCAGATTTTGTTGTATTTGCATTTCCAAGCAATTTCATGCTGGGCTCCATATCCATTGATACTTAGGACGAAGATGCATTTATTTTATTATACATGAAAATTCTACTGAGTGATGGAAAATGTAGTAAACCCAAAACATTTTAAAAGAGAAAAAATTTCAACACTCTTTTTTTTTTTTTTTTGATAATCGGAAAAATCTCAAGACTTAGATGGTCTTTCACAATTCGCACGCCAAATGTCTTATTCAAGAATGGGTCCGCCTTATCTGAAGTAAAGAAAAATAATATTGGCATAGTAAAGAAGAATTTCTCTATAGCAATTAACGAACTCTGAATACATACTCTTCCCCAAATTCTTACAGGCCCAATCTAGACTGCTTTCCTTTCTTCAGGGAAACTCTTTATCCTTTTTTGCCTTTTAACTTTTGAGGTAGTCCTATGTAGACTTTTTATCTTCAGGTCTTTGTACTAAATTCATTAATTTTTAAAAAAAAAATTTAATATAAATAGGAGGTTTCAAACTCAAAACTTCTCATTTCGAGAACTCATACTTAAATTTCCTCTCTCTATACCATCCAATTTATCCCTTCTCCTAAATTCATTGTTGTTCTGCTTGTTAGCCTCAATTGATGGTAAGACCAAACTTTACAAGAGCAGTTTGCTACCTAAAAACTCTTTTTTTTTCTTTTACCTCCTTCCCGCTTAATTGCTCATAAGTAAAGACTCGTACGGATAACGTGTTATAAAACTAATACTAATCTACAATTGGTTGGTTGACAGTGCTTTGTACTGATTGAATATCGAACTATAAACTAATAGAACAATATAAAGAAATTGTAAACTAATAGAACAATATAGAGAAATTGTAATAGTAAACAAGAAATAAGAACTATTCTTCCATTTACTCAAAATGAACTTGAATTCTCTGTCAATTTGATAGAAAGGGGGGATTAATACTTATTTATAGGGGAATTTAAAGTATATTAACTAATTTTTTCAAGATAGTGATAAGATCTTCTCGTAACACATGCAAATTTTATTACCTTAAAAGTCGTGATAGAGTTATCGAAAATTGTGCAAGTTTTAGTAACTCAAAAGTGTTGTGTTAGTTTTATTACCTCGAAAATTGTGAAAATTTGTCATCATTTAGGAGATGAGATA